TCTCGGCAACCTCACAGGCTTCACCTCCCTGCCAGCCTGCGAAATTATTCAGACAAACCAATCCCATCCTCCTGCAGAACTAGAGGTTACCCCACCCTCTTGTAACTACAAAGCAGGACCCCTTACAGCCCTGGTTGTTCACTCCGTTTCTGCATGCAGTCTCCATGTGGCATCACGCAGCAGGCCACATCCTCCTCCCCAGGATGTGAGTATATGTGACTCAAAAAAGGCTGTCAGGGCTTCCCTGGTGGCGCAGTGGTTGAGAGTCCGCCTGCCGATGCAGGGGACACGGGTTCGTGCCCCGGTCCGGGAAGATCCCACATGCTGCGGAGCGGCTGGGCCCGTGAGCCATGGCCGCTGAGCCTGCGCGTCCGGAGCCTGTGCTCCGCAGCGGGAGAGGCCACAACAGTGAGAGGCCCGCGTACCGCAAAAAAAAAAAAAAAAAAAAAAAAAGGCTGTCCATCTCATCTGTTCAATGTCAGGTGCTGTGTGTTTGGCCACCCTATTTAGGGCAGGGAACCCCTCTCTCACCAATGGAATGAACAGGAGGTGATCAGAACAAAGGGCTTTTGAATCACGAGACTTTTCAGGAGCCTGATTAGAACATGCCATATATGTGAACCCTTGATACCACATCTGGTATGGTACAAACCTGCAGAAAGTACCAGTTGCCTTTTCTTTTCCTATAAAGTAGAACTATACTTCCATACAATGCAGTAAGACAGTTTAAACTTTAAAAGCTAACTGATCTAAGGAAGCGTTCCAGAGAAAACAATACAAGATGTATTTGAAAACACCCCACCTCCTGAATGTAAGTTGGTACAGCCACTACAGAAAACAGTATGGAGGTTCCTCAGAAAACTAAAAATAGAGCTGCCATGTGATCCAGCAATGCCACTCCTGGGCATGTATCCAGACAAAAATATAATTCGAAAAGATGCATGCACCCCTATGTTCATAGCAACACTATTTACAATAGCCAAGACATGGAAACAACCTAAATGTCCATCGCCAGATGAATGGACAAAGATGTGGTACGTATAGAAAATGGAATACTCCTCAGTCATAAAAAAAGAATGCAATAATGCCATTTGCAGCAACACGGATGGACCTAGGGATTATCATACTAAGTGAAGTAAGTTAGACAGAGAAAGACAAATACCATATGATGTTACTTATATGCGGAATCTAAAATATGACACAAATGAACTTTTATGAAATAGAAACAGACTCACAGATGTAAAGAACAGACTTGTGGTTTCCAAGGGAGAGGGGATGGGAGAGGGATGGATTGGGAATTTGGAGTTAGCAAATGCAAACTCTTATATATAAAATGGATAAACAACAAGGTCCTACTGTATAGCACAGGGAACTAGATTCAATATCCTGTGATAAACCATAATGGAAACAAATATAAAAATGAATGTGTGTGTGTGTGTGTGTGTATATATATATATATATATATATATATATATATATGTATTTCAATTTAAAAAACAGAAACACCCATCTCCTATTTTCCTTCTGCTAAATAGCAAAATGCTGTCTCCCAAGATACCCAAGATGACTTGGATGCTATGACCCCAGCTGACCTGAAAACCGAACTACTGAAATTCGATCTCTATAAAAGAGAGATTTGCTTTCTTCTTACTTCCATACTCGTAAAAAGAAAAATTACCACTAGAATCAATAAGAAGGCTTTTCTGTTACGTCATTTTTCTAGAATCTCCACTACAAACCCGTCCATCCACCTGAGGATTATGAGTTCTGTGGAGCAAATCTGCCTAGAACAGGCTCCTGATGCTTGTCGGCTTCCGAGGGGAAAGTCTGCACCTGTGGTGATGCCACTGGTTTAAGAACAAGTAGAGTCCGAAGGCTTGGAGGAGTCTCTCCCCCAGGGCGCTCTGGAAAGGTGCTGAGGAACAAACTGACCAAGTTTATTTCATCAACATGAAAATACCCCCAAGGAAGTGAAGCACAAGATTCAGCTACACAAAAATGGAAGCTACTGACCACTTTGCCTCTTCTTACGGTAAACCAGACGGAAATAACATGAAACGCTGGAAGTAACATCATGTTTCCCTCATGGTCACCGCCAGGATCGGGCCGTCCTGGGTCAGTTTGTGCCTCTTGCGTGGGCTGAGGGCATGTGTGCGGTTCTCTAACCCATGGAATCAGCATCAGTGGGGACCCACACATCAGAATACCTGTGGGCTGGGATTTAGCATTTTAAACAAACCCGGGAATAGCTCTGATGTTCACTGAGGTCTGAGACCCACTAGTGTGGCTGACCCCAATGGAATAATCCCATTGCACTGCAGCCAACTGCAATCTCGAGAGATTCAGGCAAGGAGTAGAAGCACGATGGTGTTTTTGCATGACGCCCATCGCAGCAAATAGAATTAAGTGACTTCAGTGTACACTTTTTTTTTTTTGCTGCAGACTTTTCTCAGAAGGGAACAACTGATTATTCCTCCTAACCGTGTGGGTCTCTTCTTTGAGTTTTCATAACATCCAGAAAGTTCGGCTGTTACCTTGTTCATTTCCCCAGAGCACCATTGCCTTAGGACGTCCTGCAGAGGAGGGGTGGCCGTGTTTTGGGCCAGCCTTGGTGCTTCAGTCTGCAGGTACATGAGTGTAGAATGTCCGCACTCCCTGTCCGCACTCCAGTCGGCCCCGCACAACTGTGAGCTTGCCACGCTCATCTTCTACCAAAAGCCCAGATGAGGGAAATGGTACTAGTGGAATCAGTTCAAGGGCCAGCGGCCCATCACTTCCTACACAGTTTGCATGTCATCTCTGGATTAAGTCAGACCTTCAGAGAACCATGGTTGTGGACCATTTGCCTTGGCCCTGAACGGCTTTCTGGAAATGCGCCTCGTCATAAGCGTCTCACCATCCCTTGAGGGAGGCCCTAATAAATTACCATTCAGAGCCTGCCGGCATGTGGGTATAGCATACTGACGATGTCACCCCCTGAGTCACTCAGTGTCTCTCCGCAAAGTCATGCACAGCAGCTCTCTGGGGTTCACTCATTTTATTGCTGGCCCAGAGAACTGTCTGGGTCCCAAGCCCATGGAGCACCTTGCCTGCCCGCAGACCCTCTCAGGCCCCCAGCACGGAGAGGGCAACGTGCGGCACGACGAGAATGCCATGGGGCATCACAAATGAGGGCAGGAACTGCAAGCTGCAAACCCTCTGATCTTCCTTCACGGCTCAAGTGAAAAGGAAATTAGAAAGTACCCAGAGGGACAGGGGTGGAATAAGGGCTCTCCCCTCTCTACCCAGCAGAGGGCAAAGCTAGCACCTTCTTCTTACCTGGGAGGAAACCAGGACCAAACGTGACTCCAGGTGACAGATGCCTCCAAACTCGATGGAGATGCGCATGGGACTCACAGGTCCTTTTCTCTTAAAGCCACGGGGAGGAGTGAGCCTCTCTTGATTTGAGCTGACACTTCTGATAAAGGAAGGTGCCCCACACCGGTGGCCACTCAGGGGTTGGTTTGATTATGAAGTACACACACACCCCCTCACACACAGCAGCCCAGCTCTGTGTAAAGACAGACAGAAGCTGTGACACATGTCAGTCTTCATCTAGAACTCTCTAGCACAGGGGCTCCCCCCACCCCGGGGGCTGACACCCTGACACGGCACCCCGCTCCTAGGAACCTCAGCTCACAGCGGCGGCGAGAGGGCACGGGAGTGGTGGCTGTTTGGTGTCGTCACGGACTTCCAAACAAATGGGTTTATAGACTTCCAAACCCTAGCCTGGCATTAAGTAGATCTGCTACTGTAGAGTATTTAAACTCAGAGACCAAAAGCACCTACATTAGCCACATTGCAGGCAACCCAGCCAAAACCCACTAAACTGGTTTATGTCATCAGCGAATCACAGAGATGTACACAGATAACCAGGGAAATAAGCAGACTCAAGGCCAAGCAAAGGATCTGCAGTAGCACAGAACACGCTGTGAAAGCGACGCTCTCTCTGGATGCCCGGCTAGCGGGCCAGACCGAAGCTTCGAGCAGGAATCTACTTCCTCGACCTTGGCAGATTTTACAGCTGCCCTTGGGAGGCCCCACCCGTCAGCGCAAACCCAGCTGATCTGGGGTTGGGAGAGATGCTCCTTAACTTTCCCCAAAGGCAGGTGGACTCGTTAAATAAGAGCACTGTTCTCCTTCTCGTAACAAAAGTCATCATAGCGAGTAGAGCTGTGTCTTGTGTGAAAGTCCATGCTCTTTCTATAACTTCAAGGTGTCGTGGCTGAATGATAACCCAGCAGTAGCATCAGTAACAACAACAAACCTCTCTCTCCTAACAGTCATTGGAACTGCAACTGTGATTTGAAAAGGTCTCCCATTCTTTGCCTCATCCCTTCAAAAAAAAAAAACCCCTTTGAAAACTCTTATGAATACAAAATCCTCACTCTGAAAAGAGTAAATGTGCCTTTCCTAGACCCAGGCAGGCCAGCATTTCTTTAGCCTGCTAGAATACTCAGCATTTTGGTGGATTCTTAAATGCCTGCAGGGAAGGTTTTATTGCTTTCACACCGTGCCCTTCTCCTGCAACAGTGTGTGTGTGTGTATGTGTCTGTGTATGTGTATGTGCATGTATATGTGTGCGTGTGCATGTGTGTATTTGTGCATGTGTATATGTGTGTGTGCCTGTGTATCTGTGCATGTGTGTGTGCATGTGTATATGTGCATGTACCTGTATTTGTGCATGTGTACATGTGTGTATGCCTGTATTTGTGCATGTGTATATGTGTGTATGCATGTGTGTATCTGTGCATGTGTATATGTGTGTGTGCATGTGTGTCTGTGTATGTGTATATGTATGTGCATGTATATGTGTGTGCATGTGTATATGTGCATGTACCTGTATTTGTGCATGTGTATATGTGTGTATGCATATCTGTGCATGTGTATGTGTGTGCATGTGTGTATCTGTGCATGTGTATATATGTGTGTGTGCATGTGTATATGTGTTGCCTGTGTATTTGTGCACGTGTATATGTGTGTGTGTGCCTGTGCATACTTGTGCATGTATGCATGTGTGCGTGCATGTGCTGGAGGGACTGGTTCTCAGTCTTCCTCAGCAGCAGCCCTCCACCTGGACCACACGTGGACACAGCTGCTGCCCAGCACAAGTAAGCCCAGCACGAGGACACCCACTGCAAAGAGGTACAGGGTTTTGTCACAGTAATCCTGAGGCTGCTGGAAAGGTGGAATAAAATCTGGCAGGTAAACAGAAAAGACCCAGTAATTTCCCAGAAAGAACCAGAGGAAAAGGAAGAGGCTGAGAAGGTGGATGTAATTTTGTGTGCGTTCTGCCTCTAGGGATATACATCGTCGTCATCATCATCAATCACCACGGCCTTGGACAGAAGCCGCCTCATCCTGGTGGGGTTGTACAGTAGGAGAGACATCTGGGTCGTGGTAGGGAGCCAGGGGTTGGAGGGCAGAGCAACAAAGGAGGGGGAGGAGAGGGGACAGAAGGTAGGAGAGAAACAGAGAAAGATTCATTAGGAAAAGTGCACACACTGGAGTTGGAAATGCTGCCAAGGAGTGAAATTTCATTTGGAAGAATGAGAACTGGCGAGAATGAAGGCATCAATCCTCAGCGTCCTTGGTGGCATTCTATAGATGTGTGAATTGCTTTGGACACGGGATTCGTTGACTGAAGTTCATCTCTGCGCCCAGAGTCTCCCTGTTGCTCTGGTTTGCTTCCTTAGCCTTGAGGTCAGTTCCTTGGCACCCCCTGGCTCCAGTGACCTGCTCTGCCTCCCTCCAGTGACCACCCCCGGGATCTGGTCATCATCTGGAAGTGCCCTCCTCCCCGATCCCAACTAAATGGTAGTTGTTTAAGCTGCCCCGTCTGTGGAATCTTGTTAAGGCAGCCTGAGCTGACTAATACAGACACGAAGTATTTTTAGGCGTATTGTTCTATGTAAAACAACCCTATGGAATGCACACCACTCTCCTCACTTTAGAAACAAAGGAATTGAGGACCAGTTGGGTGAACGAGTTGGCCAAGGTCACGTGGGTCAAAAGTGGAAGAGCCAGAGCATAACACCAGGTGTGTCTTCAGCCAAAGCTGGCAGGTGCCCTTCCCACCAAGCCCTCCTGTGTCTCTCAGACTCAGAAGTTCCACTGAATATCCTCAGGCCTCAGGCTCAGTATGTTAAAAACATAACTCAATCTTCCGTATTCATTTGGTGACATGTCCAAGCTAGAAACCAGGGATGCTCCCAGCTCCTCACCCGATATAACCAATCAACAGCGACCATGCTGGGTGTACCTCCAGTAGTTCTCTCCTACTAGAACGGAAGGGCAGGGTCCAGCTATTCTTGGTTCACTGCTGTACACCCAGCCCAGCACATGTGTGGGGTGTGGCCCATCAGAGAAGTCCTGTGCTTGACGTTCCAACAGTATGGGGCTGCTTCTCATCTCCATGCCCGGACTGTGTGCTCATGCTATCCTGGGACCCCTCTGCTCCCCAGCCTGACTCTTTCATAAACATCCAGACAGGTATCACCTCCTCCAGGAAGGATTCCAGTATCTCTCTTTACTGGGTTAGAAATCTTCTTTGTGCTTATCTGTATTCTCTTATTTTCTACACTGAAAAGTTATCACTTATGAAAGATAACGAAACCTAAGTGAAGTGATTAGGCCAGCATTTGGCCTGTATGATCTCATTTAATGCTTATGCTAACCTAGGGGCTGTATATTATTATCCCTGGTTTGTGGATGAGAAAACTAAGGCTCAGAGAAGTTAAGTCACTTCACCCAGGTCCACAGTGAGTAAAAGGATGAGATGGATGTCGGTCCACACCTCTGACCACCATCTACACCATACTACCCAGGTGCTTAAATCAAAGCTATTAAGTCACAGGGATTTTGTTTGTTTGTTTGTTTGTTTTTTGGGGTTTTTTTAACATGTTTATTGGAGTATAATTGCTTTACAATGGTGTGTTAGTTTCTGCTTTATAACAAAGTGAATCAGTTATACATATGTTCCCATATCTCTTCCCTCTTGCGTCTCCCTCCCTCCCACCCTCCCTATCCCACCCCTCTAGGTGGTCACAAAGCACAGAGCTGATCTCCCTGCACAGGGGTTTTTTCCTAAACTGGGAAAGTGCTCCCAAATGGTCCAGTTTCCCAGGCTTTCTAGGAATAAGATTTGTAGCCTGGTTGGGAGGCAGAACATAAGAAAAAGGAAGTGAGGGCTTAAAGGGGTCCAGAGAGCCACTCACATAGAGCTGATGCATCCAGGGAGGGCTTCCTGGAAGAGGGGGTATATTCTGAGCCCCTGTGAGCAGGGAGAGGTGGGAATGTGAGTGGCATGGCAAAGATGAAGGGTGGTGGGTTTGGGAAACAGGAGAAAACCAGTTGGGAGGAGCAGGGCAGCCGAAGAGAAGGACTATGAGCTCGGGCAGGCGTGGGGTGCACAGGCGCTCAGCCATTTACCCTGTGGAAACCCAAGAGAAGCAACCTTTCCGCTTCAGTTCCCCCATCTGTAAGCTGGAGCTGACAGCGCAGCTCGGGGTTCAGTTACTCAGCACCATTTCCCTTCCTAGTAGGGTCCCATTCCCTGGGGGCTGGCCCCCACTGTCACGTGCATCTGGAGGGGGAATCCCAGGGCCTGTCCTCCCTGGAGGCACCTTCTCCACACCAGGGTCAGCCTGACACCCAAGGTCCAGGGACCTAGCCACCTTCCCAGGACTGGTTTGTGGGCACCTGATGCCAGGAGAGAGGAACTCTCTGGGGTTCATTTCACTTCACTGCTGGCCCAGAGCAACTGCCCACGCTTCCTGGAGCCACCTGGTTCCTTCCTCTTTCACCAACCTTTGAAGTTGCGAGCTTTTTTAACAAATTACCTCTCAGGTTAGCCAGAGCTGATATTTTGTTCCTTATATTCAAAAAATCCTTTCTGATACAAGGACCTGCCTCAAAGGGGCATTGTGAGAACTGAATACATTCAAAATGGGGGCCAGGCCCTTAGCACGGCACCTGGCACATAGCAAGTGCTCATGGGGTGGTAGCGATTATTACTAAGAAGTGGGGTCCTGGAAGATGAAGTGGAGTGTTAGGTAGACAAACGGCCACTAAGTCAGTGGTTTTGAAACTTTTTTTCAACACGGTGCTCAGTAACAAACACACTTTATGTCCCAGCCTAGTAATTGGGTAAGCGTATGCCCTGGCTGGCTCAGAGAGGTGCCAGTTTATGCTGTTTTCCTGGCGTGACTATTATTAAAGCCCCCCTGTACTCTCAACAGTGTCCCAGTTGGGATGATAAATTACATGGTCACCTTACCATACACACACGTGTGCATGTATATCACACGATACTTATCAGGCACTAATATTTTCTATTCTATTTTTTGTTTGTTTTCACAGTACGCGGGCCTCTCACTGCTGCGGCCTCTCCCGTTGCGAAGCACAGGCTCTGGACGCGCAGGCTCAGCGGCCATGCCTCACGGGCCCAGCCGCTCCGCGGCATGTGGGATCTTCCCAGACCGGGGCGCAAACCCGTGTCCCCTGCATCGGCAGGCGGACTCTCAACCACTGCGCCACCAGGGAAGCCCTATTCTATTTTTTTAAAGTGATCACAACCTACTAAATTCATTTCAGGATCTTCTAATGGGTCATGATCGTCAGTTCTTAGGTGACCCTCGGAAATGTCCACCCACTTCTCTTCAATACAATGCAATACGGTGGTGCTGTCTGATGCATCTCAGAGATGCTGCAGTGTTCCGCGGGGGTTAAATAGAAAGCACTGGCCTCACTAGTAAACCTCTGTGTCCGGGGATTCTATAAGCCTGTTTGCTATTGCTCTCATGGTTGTGGACTCACTGTGTATTGCCTCGCTGTGATGAGCACAAAAATTTAATTTGGCTTCAAACAGTTCTAGATTGCCAGGAAAAAAATCAATGCTGCTTATTAGGGCCCTGGTTTGTTCATTAAAATAAATTACCTTTGGGTTCTGGGCTGGCTTTCATAAAGGGCTGGCTTTCATAAAGGAAAAGGTTGCTGTTATTAAGAGGAACAGACTCCATGGACGGTAGTATCTCTAAAGGTAAGTTCTACCTTGCTCTACCTGATCATGAGGTAGTCCAGCGAGAGAGGGTGGGGCAGAGGTAATTACTGCTGAAAACTCTGCCCTTGTTTTGAGCACCGCTATGGCACTCAATCCATCAGAGCTTTCTTCTAACACTCTGGGGCCACATAGGCAGCCCTGTTGATCTAAGAGCCGTTGAGTTTCCTTGGAGCTAAACAGAGCCCCAGGTAGATCCCATCAGGATGTTAAGAGAAAGGATCCTGTATTTATACATTCCAGAACATTGCCCACCAGACCGCTGCCAAAAGAGGAGGGTATTTAACAGTGAGGTGATCTCAGACACAAAAGGCTCCAAATGCTTGCTCCAAATCAGACATGTTTCCCAAGACAGAATAGAGCTGGTGGCTACCGACTGCATATGAGAACAGCCATCTTGAAGACATTCCTTTGACGTCTCAGATCAATATCATGACCAGTGCCACTGGGCAGCCTCTTTTGAAGGCCCCCAGCACCAGAAGGAAGCTGACAAAGAAATCAGACAATGGGTCCAAATGAAATTTTATATATGGCACTCGATTCTGTTTGTGTGTGTGTGTGTGTGTGTTTATGTGTGTGTGCGTGTGTTTGTGTGTGTGTGTGTGTGTGTGTGTGTGTGTGTTATTGCTTCATTCTTATGAAACCATTTTGGAAAAACGGACACTCGTGTTTTCTAGCTTTTGATATAGAAAGCTTTGAGGTGGGCTTGGATGGCTGGGAAGGGTCACTAATAAATGGAGGTAGACCTAAGGTACTTCTGGAAGGTGTGACATTTCTTTGGGCTTGGAATTTTGAAAACCTAACTGCAGACTATGCAGGACCTTTGATATTCTTTTTTCCAACATTCTTCCTGTTTCAACATATGTCAATACAACCCATGAGCAAATCAGCTCCCTAGACTGATATAAGCTTGTGAGTCACAGACGTCGCCCCCAAACATTGGAGTTTAACGTGTGATTGATGATTGCAGCTAACAAATTCCATGCTAGTCATTTGAGAACTAAGAGCTATGGTTAAAAACAGAAATAAGAACTGCTAAAATCGAACACATTTTAACCAGATGCAAACTCTACTGCCCTATACAGGAAACTTTTTTAAAAAGAAGCACAGAGAAAGGCCACGATTATGGCTGAATTCAATGGTATAAGTAATCGGCAGTCGGTAACTTCTCTGCATCAATTGTAGTCAGACCAAAGCCACAACTTAGCACATTGAACTCAGGGCAGCAGGAAGGAAGTTCTGGGTGAAAATTCCTCATCTGGAAAAATCCAAGTCTCTGCGGCAGGTATCAGGATCCACCTGCCCTGTCGTTTCAACAACCCTGCGCTTAGCGGAAGCTGTTCCGTTAGCAAACAATTAAAGGATGCGTTCCACAGTGCCTTAAGCTAAATTTCAACAAGAACTACAAACAATTGATAAATAGACATTACCTTTAAGGCCCCGATGATCCCAACCAGTAGAAGTATAGAGGGATGAGGGCGTGTATGGGACAGTCCTCCAAAAACTTCACTCCTGCAAAGGGGACAGAACAGGAAATTGAGTGAAATGTTTTCAAGAACACAATGCCGCTTAGGAAAATGAAGTAAATGTCTACAAAAGCCAAAACGTTAACGACACAAACTGAAGCTCGACCCCTGCTCAGGGCATCTGCTCAGTCTCCCGAGCCACCCAATCTTCAGCTTGCTTACCGGACAGAACGGCAGCCCACTGGACATCAGAGCCGGGGGCAAAGTCACTGCACCACTCTGGATATTAACCGGCTACAGGTATGCCTTGCTTTTATGAAAACAGTGAACGACAACCCGTGTTTCCAATCAATGATTCATTTTACCAAAGGATCCAAAGAATCCCTTTAAATATCCAGGCTTTTTTTTTTTTTGGCCACACCGTGCAGCATATGGTTAGTTCCCCAACCAGGGATTGAACCCGTGCCCCCTGCAGTAGAAGCACGGAGTCTTAACCGCTGCACCACCAGGGAAGTCCCTATCTAGGCACTGTGCTTAAAACAAGATCCAATTTATGGGTCACGTCCCCAAAATGCATCCACTGGGTAATATAAGGCTCTCATTTACCCTGCTTCCAGGGCCCACAGGGCGGGGATTTGCCAGAAGAGGACACTTCCTCCGTGTGCAGAATCCTGTGCTATATTTGTTGCAGGCAACACATGATCATCACTGACCAATTCACTCACCCAACCCCAAGCTGGGACACGTGTTTACTGACAAATCCTTAGTCACTGTATTGGAAAACTACCAAACCCACACCCTTTCTTATGGTGATTTTTCTCGCCATAGCAATGCTTTCTCTCTACTTTTCTCAGGCCTTTGTCTCTTGGCCTATTTAACCAATGATGATATGATGTATTATTTAAAATATAAGAAAGCCATGCCCATTTCCCTCAGTGACCAGTCTGGCTCCAACGACCAGTCTTCGGATGGGTCCTAACACATGTCTTGGCTGTGCAGAGACATTAACTGTTCAGTACGTGCCCCTCACATTTCCCAGCCCCCTTGTGGGTACCCGGGACTGTGGGACTTGTGCTAGCCAACAGGCTATGAGGCATTTTGGGGCCAAAGCATTTAAAAACTGACACATGATCCTTCGTTTTCTTCCCCTGCTTTGACCATGTGGAAACCATGGGCTGAGATGGTTAGTGCTCAAGACTGAAGCAGCTTAGAGTTTTACATCATCACGTCACTTGGGGGAGCCTTGGGGAGCCCTGGAGAGGGTCCTGATCCACGTTGGAATTTGCATGAGCAAGAAATAAACCTCTGTAATCAACAATGACCTACTGTATAGCACAGGGAACTATACTCAGTATTTTGTAATAACCTATATGGAAAAAGAA